AAGAAGTTTTTTTTCTTCTACTCTTGAATTTGGGGGTGGGGATTATTTCATTTAAAGAATTGTTTGTAGTACACTCATTGTAAAGGTGTTCTCTTAATTCCATGTAATTTACTTTTTAAAGTTAATTACATTTCACAATTTAAATATACTATTATTTCATTAAAAATTTTAATATATTACCAAGGCACTTTTCGATATGCTGTTATTTTAATTATTTAAATTGTTTAAGTTAAAACTATTAATTGCTTGAAAATTAATTCTCATATTTGCGATTGTTCACATTTTTTTTTTTACTATGTTTGTTTCATAATCCTTCGAAGTAATCAGGCGTGAATTTCGGAATCAAAATGTTCATCCAACATTAAAAAGAGTCCTAACCAATTCATTCCTTTAGAATTTAGATACAAAAAAATAGTTTTTCTAAGGATTTATTCTAACCTTTTTTCTTCTTCTCTCTTCATTAATCTTTAATATTTTCCATATTTTCTCTACATTTTTAACTTATGTGCATAGATATATATTTTGTTAGTTCAGACGCTCCCATAGAAAATTCATACACACACCATCGTTGCAGCAAAAAGGAATATACACAATTGTAATAGAGTAATTCCTCGACAAGATAAGTAAGAATACTCACTACATATTCATCTTCATGGCCTTCATTATCATTTGGCTCTCCACTGTTTGGATCACAATCTTTAACTAAGTACTTTAATATGTTACTCAATGTTCCAAGTACTGAAAGAAATTATAATTTTCAATACAAGTAAACAAAACAACTTGCTTTTTAACACAAAATTAAAAACAGTTAGGTAAATCGTTAATGTCAAAACTATATTAAGTATTGCTCTCTTAGAGCAATACTTTAACCGACCTGACACTGATGTTAAAAATTTTAATTAATTAGCAAAAACACATTTAATTAAAAAAATTTCTATTTTGAAAAATATTGTCATGCTATTATAGGGTATACATATTTCCTAGATTTTAAAATTTCTTTATTTCATCAATTTATAATACTTTTTAACTGGGTGAGCAGCCAAATCTTTCAACAAAAAATAAGCATCTTTTAAGAACTTCTTAAGGAATAGATACATTAAAAACATGCAAAATAATTTTCAAAGAATTTACACGATCATGATAAAATAATGTAAAATGATTGGCACTATCACATGCTACGGACCGACGGTACGCCGAAACGGATTGTGGTCGGTCAAATGAAATGTAAAAGCGTTGAATAGAGCAAAGTGAAAAGCAAGCTTTTGCATAATACATGGAGAAAATCGACATAATAACGAATTAAAACCGTATTTTCGAAAAGAGAAAATTAAGCGCTTATTTACTTTAAAATTAACTCAATTTTTTTTTCGAACAATAAATGAAGGCAGTTTTTTGCTGAAGAGATAGCTCGCATTTGCCTTTGAATAAGATAAGAAAAATTTGAATTACTATTTTTTGTTGTTTTGATTTATTTTGCCACTAATCTTCAGGTTCGTTTAAACATTTTAAAACTGCCAATCCTCTTATTTAACTCTTAATTATCTATATCACCAAAAACCCGGACTTGTGTTGGACAGCGGTCACAAAATTCCCTAACAAGCATTATCATTTTCAAGTACATACGGAGGACATCTACAAGATCATTCATGTCGTGAATGATCAAATTAGTAAAGGGGATTTGCCAAATATTTTATGATTGACTGATTCGACCTCTCCTGTTAAAGTTATGTAGTGTGGGTATCTTAATCCTGATTGATTGTTGAAACGTGGCAATTGTTAACATTAGCAACTGTTCTTTCCATTCTATTTTGAGTAAGCCAAAGTCATCAAGTATCAATTCTCCTAAGTGACTCATACTATATTTTTCTCACAAAGATTTCAATTACATTCTTACTTAATATAAAGATACGCACAAAGCCATGGAGAACAAAAACAAACTATTTATGTATCAACGTTGCCAGATGCACAAAGCAAAAATCTATTAAGGTTACAATAAAATACATAAATAAATAATAAATCTAAATTAAGTAAGAGACGTAGACAAGAAAGAATTATATTTCAACAAATTTGATGTGTGATATAACTCAGTATTTATTAACTTCATGTTAATTAACATTCTAAGTCATGTGGATAAACATAGTTCAACATTAACACGCCATTTTGCTAAGAAACAATCAGCTGACGCCAACGTCACAGTTGTAGGTATCTGTGATCTTCTTGAAGTGAAAGTACCCAAATGGCACAGCTGAATAAATATTCATTCAACTGGCTAATATTTTTCTTTTTTTAAAATTAATTTTAGTCCAAAAACTTCTGTTTAAAAAATTTATACTTTTAAAATGTTTTGATTTTTAAAGCTGATAAAAAAAAAGTTTTTGAGGAAAATAAATTTATTGGATAAAAATTTTCGTTTTGTAATTTTAAATCAATTTTTAAAAAATTCATTCTGTGCAGAAAAACTTAAAAAAGGTAAAAGGAACTCGGAAAAAGGTAACATTAAATTGTAATTGAAACATTTTTTACCAACAATACTGACATGTTTTGTCACAGCAATTTAAATAAATAATAATTGGTAATCTATTAGAAACAGGTGCTCACATTGTGCAGCTTGTCATCATCTAATTCGCGGAATATTGTCCCTTTAACTTGGTTAGGCTTGAGTGCTATCCAATTAAGGGTTGGTAATTTGTATTTGGTTTGGAACTTTCTCTTGATTGTCATGCCTATAATATATACATGCTAAAGTTACAATAAAATATTTTAAAAGGTAACGTTTAACGAACCAAAACTAAAGAGTTTATATCGAGAAACCCTTAAATTTTTTTATTTATTTTACATAACCACCCAAAAATTTATGCTTGCTTTGCTGCATAGGCATTTCTAAAAATTCAATTAGTAATAAAAAGAGACAAACAAAATTAAGATCACTAAAGATTATAAATTAAAATAACATTCAGAAATAATAATATTGAAAATATGTTAAGAACACTATTGTCTATACATAAGCAAAAGAAAAAAAAATTTAAAAAATCACTTAAGCAAATACATAATATCTATTTGAGGTTGTTATGAAGAGCTTGGGAAAATATAGAGCCTCATTTTTTTCGGAGGTGAATTTTATATTAAACTCTTTTTCAGTATTTATTAAAGATAAGTATTTATAAGTTTCCGGCCCAATATCTAGAAACCTACAGCCAACATCTCCAAAGGAATAAAATGTTTCCCCAAAAAGGTTTTTATACTTTAGAACCAAGATTTGGTGTTCATAAAATGGATAATCTTTGAATTTGTACCCTCTCTAGGGACAAAATAAACAGTTACTTATTTTTGCTTTTATTAAAATGGATTATTTACAAAATTGTATTAGAAATTTTAATAGATTGTCTTTGATAACTTGGAATTGAATAATTGCAATTGTTTGAAAAAGAATGGTCTGCAGTTACAACAAAAGCGTTTTACAAGAGTGATTAAATTTAATAAGCACATTTAAAAACTTTGAAAATAATTTTATATAAATGTATCCTAATGAGAATGAGTCAAAATAAAGCATATCGTTAGATCTTAGATTTAAGAAAACAATGTAATAAAAAAAATGCACTTCAAAGCGCTGATTACAAATGAGGATAAGAATGTTGATGAAAAAGTATTTCAAATATTTAGTTAAAAACAAATACAAAAAGCACTTTTGAAGTTATTGTTAAATGAGTGAAGCACATTTAAACGATTAAAAAAGGAAGAAAATAATACCATCTTATGGGGCTTGCATCATGCCAGGCATGGGTGGAGGACCAGGCGGAGCCTTCATCATTTGTGGAAGGGGTGGAGGTGGCATAGCTTGCATGGAGGGTAGTGGAGGAGGGGGTGGTGGTGGCATGACTTTGAATTTGACCATCTATTGCAGTTCCTCCGATAACAGTTCCTAAATTATTAAGGAAAACAAAATAACTTCAATAAAAAAAGTATTATCAGATTTTTTAAAATAAAGGTTCATTTATTATAAGAAAAGTTATTTAGAGCAAAAATAAAATTTTGATATTAGTTAGTTCAATTTAGTTTAAAAGCAAATACCAGACTTCAGAATTCAAGCTTATAGTTTACAAGTTCCAAGTTACAAAAATAAATACTCATTATGGTAATATCAATCCGAATGAACTAGATTATTCTTTGTAAGAGGCTTGCATATGTCTAACCGAAAGAAAACATTAAAATTGACTGAATGCTTGCTAACCGTAAATGAGATATTGTCTATCTAAGATTGTATTGATCTTCTTGACTTGTACGATTTTGCACAATGAGAAATTGTTTACTAAATAAGTTGATTCGATGCTGAAGAAGAGAACTAGTGTAACTAGATACAGTGTATTTCCTTAAAAAGAAACAAATCTTAAAAACAGTAAAGAGCATAATTTTTATTGCTGTAGCTTCTTTCAATTCAAATTTTAAAATGATATGTAATCCATACATAAAATGAAATCCTAATACATTAGTGCTTTTTTTAAACACACAAGGAAACATGATTTAAATAAATAAACTGTACCTCTAGGCAGACTGTTGCTTTCTAGTTCTTCAATTTTGGACTCCAGTATACTTTGTCTCTGCCTAGATTCTTCATCTTTTTGTGAAACAACTCTTCTAAGAGTATTCAACTCTTCATCTGTCTGTTTATGCAATTCCTAAAAGTAATAAAAATAAATTATTATATTTTTGTTAAGTTAAAGATGTGTATTTCAGTTTGATTGATAAATAAATTAATACCCTAAAAACTAATTCAAAATGTATTAAGAAACAAAAATACATTTTGATGAAATATTTGAATAATAAAAACAAAAAGGTTCATATATAATCAAGGAAACAACTCTAGTATTTTGTACTGAAACAATTTTAGTAATTTTTATATAGTTTTGTTAAAAAAAAAAAAAAAAAGAAAAAAAAAGAATCGAAATCATAATTTGAAGTTGAACAGGAAATACAAATAAATCCTTTATTTTTATTATTTTTTAAATGAGAATAAATTGAAAAATATTGTTGTCATGTACTTCATTGTTTGACTATACAAAGTTCTGTAGAATTGTGAAAAATAAAAAATATTTAAAAAATATCAATATTAAGATGATTTAGCGGAAACTGAAATTAATATAAATAATTAAACTCAACATACCAAAAGTTCATTTCTTTCCCGAGTGACGGCATCCAAACATTCCAAGTGCGTTTCAAGTTCAACTAAAAAATATAAAATACGCAGATATTATGAATAACTTATATAACAACATAGGTTGAGGCAGTTTGAAAATAAAATTCAAAATTTTGACTACCTAGTCGAGCCATAAGTTCATTTTCCATTTCTTGTATTTGCTCATTCGCCTGAAAAATTGGAGAGAAAAAAAATTATTAACAAATTAAATTCATTGAAATAAAATAAAACGAGTAGGCTTAACTTTAGCAATTAAATTTTTTTGTTATAATTGGAACCATTTAATTTTGATCCTATAACAATTCCTTCACAAGGTTAAGTTTCAAATTTTTATTTTTAATATTTATAAACATGAATGAAATAAAAAAAAAAAAAATAACGGAGAGAATTTTATTTTAACAAAGAAAATGGAAGCAACAAATAAAATATCTCGATTTAAATTTTGGTGTGAAATAAATATAAATTTCAGATGCACAAAAATGAACTTCCGGTCATATTACCTCAAATAAAAAGAAATAAAAAAAAATTTTGATACAAAAAAATCTGTGAATTTTCTTAAAATTCTCTCTTAATATGTAGACTTGCTACAGAATAGTAGAGATAAGTTAACAAGTGCATGTCCATGAAGTAAATAAATCAATAAATATTTTGAACAACTGAATTTATAAAAAATTGTTTTGTTAGGTCTCAGTATTACTTAAATTTAATTTTAAAAAAACAAATGAAACATAATATAAATAACAGAAACATAATAAATAACAGAATATTGTTATATTTTAATGTAGCTTCAAGACAACGTTACATTAACTGCACAACATGCAACATTTAACTTATATAATTTTTGAATCAAATTTATTATATAAGTAGAAATTTAAGTTTAAAATATTTTTTAATGAAAACATAAATAAAAAGGTATAAGATTTAAAAAAATAAGCAAACATGTTCAGTTGAGTTTTACATGTTTTAACATAAAACTAGATGATTTGAGGTATGCTATAGTAAATAAAAGTTAAAATTTTTTGCATAATTAACAATTGCGAGGAAACTTAAACATTATTAATTTGGATTGGTGTAAATTATAACCACCATAGACAAGAATAATTCGAAATAATTACACGAGATAGTTGTTCTTCCAAATCTGCAACTTGTTCTAACGCTGCACTCTTTGTATCTGAATCTTCCATTAGAGCACCAACATCAAATACATTGTCCAAATATGCTGAAATCTGAACCTGAAGTTCCTCACTTTCAGTCTGCCTTAGTTTTTCTTAGTAATCGTCCAAACTGATTTGTGTAAATTCAAATTGTAGATGAACCCTAAAGTTCATGTCTTTCACAGAATGGACAACAATGTTCTCAAACTGCACGCAAGCAACCGGAATGATAGACATTAACCATGGTTAATATATTATCATTGTAGTCTTTTAACACAAGCATAAGAAGATAAAGTTCAATAAATATGTGAAAGAAAACCATGCTTCCTAAAAATGCTTACCATAAAGTCAATGTTAAATACTTCATAGTTAATGAAGTAATCCATTAATGTTTCAAATCGCTTTTTTTCACCACAAACATCTTTAAAGTTGTCAAATGCGGCAAGAATTATTTGGTGACCTCCTTTCACTAAGCATATTGCAGCTAAAAATTCTAGAACCAGTGTCTTTGCCCTAAAAGATATAAATCAGAAACATAAGGAAAAAAAACAAAGTTTGTTCCTCACATACGCTTGACGTGTAAAACAATTTCATGTGTATATACTTAGTTTTGCTTAAAAAACTACATAAAATTGAGTCATAATTTTTTTTGTTGTTGGGTATAATGTAAGAGAGCTTTTAAACTCCCAAGTAGTATCAGTCAGATGTTCTGAATAAGTTCTGTAGAGGATTGTCAGTATTCCATATCAGCTGCACTGCACAGAATATTTATATGTGAATGCGAAAGTGCTAAATTTCACTGATATGTTACAAATCATATACACTGATATACCAAATTAAATGGTCTTTTGTTATTTCCTCTATCAAAAGACTGCATTCTCTCTAGTTGCAGGATATTATAAGTAAAAACTTAAAGCCCATATAAAAAGAAAATGATAAAAGTTTTTATAAATGATTTACAATTTATGCAATCAAAATTACATAAATCAAAGGCAAGTTTAGAAATTTGAATACTAGTTTATTTCTGAATGACAATATTTTGAAGCACTTAAAAATTGTATGGTGAAAAAAGGAAATTATTGATAAAAATTATCAGTAGCATGTAGAGATTGGGGTTAAGGCATCAATGGCCTTCGGTATGCAGCCAAAGACGGCATCGAATCGATAACTAAGGGCACTAAAACTCTGAATCAATTTTGAATGTGAAAGAAAACATTTTCGCAAGTAAATATTTAATTCCAAAAAAAAATTATTTTAAAGAGAATACAATATGCAATTACGAAGTATGAAAAGGGTAAAACAATTAGAAATACCACTAATAAAAAAAAATAAGAATATTTTGTAGGTAACAATGGCTTTTTTCTTCACCTTAAAATTAATTTCATTTTATGCTTACAGAAAATATTGGTTGTGAATTTTTCATAAATTATATATTTTCCATTGTCTTTTTTAAAATTTTCTTAATGAAATATAATATTTTAACTCACACCATCTTAAGAGCATTTAATTGAGAATTTTGATCCATGTATCCACACACCACTAAAGATTAGTATACTTTCTAGTGAAAACTGAAATTAAATTCAGAACTATTTTTATTAAAGGAGGCTGCAAAATTTCTTAGCATAGTTTACATAAATTTCAAGGGTAGAAAGTCCAACAGAACACTCATGGAGTCATAAACAAAATATACCAGATATTTCGAAATAGGAATTAGCTTAGAGCATATAAAATTAATTCTTAGAAGAACATATTAAAATGAAAATAAAAATCTTGCCTTAAGCTCTTGTGGTTCAAACTAAGGGCAATACAATTGATGGCTTGCGTGCGTTCAATCACCATATTGAATCCATACTGAAATATAAAATAGTTTATTGTAGGTATTAAAAGAAACAAATAAAAAGTAATAAGAGAAAAAATAAATTGTTCTTTCAGTGTGTTACTTTTCAGTCTGATAAACAGAATGTTTGGAGAATAAGAACTATTTAGCAATAACTAGTAAATCCCCAAACTAAGATGCTAATTCATATTTGGTACAAATTATTACCTTTTCAATACAAAATTTGCCGAAACCAAAAAAGTATGAGATTTTTAAAAGTGTAATCAGTGTCCCTTAAATGTGCAAAATAAATTAATAGCTACTTACATTCTTAGCTTTAAAATATAGTTTAAAAAATGTAATCATATATAATTTAAAGAGTATAATTGTCAATGCTTGTCATGAGTACTCCATTTAATATAATCACTTTTAATGTGACTTATCATTTAATCTGATTATATAGATTTCTGCAGGTTTTAACTTCCATAAATATCTGGATTTACAACAACGATTACTACTTTACTCAGTTTATTCAGAAAATGAAGCATAATATGTTTGCAGACATAATCAAAAAGCAAATAATTCTTCAGTGACTCGAGAGCCCTAGGTGGGCCCTGGACATTTCTTGAAATTTTCTCCAGGCATCTTGATATTTGGTGGTGACTACATTCCATTTCCTAATGCTAAGAATGTTTAGGTCATTCTCAACACAGTCGATCCATCTTAGCAGGAGTCAATCGTGAGGTCTTTTTCCCATAAGCTTTGCCAAAAAGACCTTCTCCCTTCAGAGGACCAGCCCACGTGGGATTTTACAATATCAGGTTCTTTAAAAATCCTGTAAATCTCTACATTATTTCTTCTTCTCCATGAAGCATTTATCTGGATCCCACCAAGTATACTTCTCAAAAGTTTTCTCTCAAAAATCCCCAGAACCTCGGCATCACGTAAAGTCAATGCCCAAATCTCTAATGCATTTGTCAAGATAGATCTAATAAGACTCTTGTAAAGAAGCAGTTTAGTTCCAAGTTTAAGAAAGCCTGATTTTATAAACTTTTTCAGGCTATAAAAAAATCTGTTCGCAAATGTACTTCCTTTGCATATTTCAGGAGTTAAAGTAAAAGGTAAATATTTAGTAACAGCCTACAAGCAAAAGTTTTCTTACTGTATGTAGTCCTAAAAATTAGCACTTTTGCATGAAAAAAAATTATTTAGGTAATTATAGCGGTTAAAACATATTATAATATTGTGAAGCTGAATGAATTTTAAAATATGGTTTCCATTTACAGAAAAACAGAGAAAAAAATTTATTAAAAAACAACTTAAGCACTCTTCAATTAATTCTAAGTTAGAAATCAAGAATAGTACATTTAAGTAAAGCTGAGATAAAATTAATATTTTTGCAATAAACAATTTCACAAACATACTTTATTGTTCATTATGGCTCGCAAGCGCATGATGCAAACATGTATGTCATCTTTTGCTTCTCCCATATTTAGTTTAGCTATGTGTTTTGTGGCTCTTCGAATTTTTAAACTTTCAACATGAAGTAATGGTCTATTTTTTGGTCTGAGAGTATTTCCATTAGGAATTATTTCTTCTTCATCATCATGATTTGCTTCAGTAACAATACGCTCATGCCTAAAAACAAAAATTACTTATGAGTCATTAAACTTGGTATNCATTATTATTTTTACTCCTAAAATATCACTACTATTTTGATCAATAAAAAAATGTATTACAACTATGATAATATGTATAATTAACTATGTTTTAGTTGAATTTATGAACTGTTACAATTGACCCCGTAAGTGGGGACAATTGTAACAAGTGCTCGACTGTCAAAAATTGTTAATAACTAATATAATAACATTTTAGATAAGGTATTTATTTTTTTTGTAGTGGAGGATAGTCTACTTTACACGTCTGTCAATAAATACTAATAATATATTGGATTTTTTGTTAGTTAAAAATAGTTAAGTAAAAAATGTTACAATTGACCCCACTCTCCCCTACGCTCATGCCTAAAAACAAAAATTACTTATGAGTCATTAAACTTGGTATAAAACATTTACATATTACTACTGAGGTGTATAAAATAAAAACACCATAGAATATATGCGAATAAACAGTAATTATATATTTCTCAGAATGAAAATTCTCCTTGCTTGTGGCCTTAAAAAAGTGGTGCACTAAATTTTGAAAATTCGAGAAAACTAAATATTTTTCTATTTAAAAAAAAAACAATTATGATTTTTTTTAATAAGGATTAGATTGAACTTACTTTTTTATTTTAAAATAAATCTTTGTACCACACTTGTTTCGAAGATTCTGTGATTAAAGTAAGTTTTTTCAAACGTTTCAAATTTTAGAAAAATATATTTAAACACAATTAATAAATTTTCTTAAGGAAGCTAAAAACCATTTTTAAGTTTGAAGAAAGATGCCATTACGTGAATCACCAAAAGACCAAATTTGGTTTTTGGTTTGCAGGTTGCTCACATCGATCTGAATGATGTAAAAAGATCAAAATATTGTAAATGATACATGTTTTTGTAGCCCAAGTTAATAATATTCTTTCTTAGTATTAAAAAAGTAATAATTGAGACCTAAGTAAAATTAGAACCATTTTTACCACATATTGAATTAATTTAGGGTTGATATTTTTTTCATGAAGATGAAAAAAAAAATAAAAATTTTATTAATTTTAGGGACAAAACAAAGATAAATTTTTCTTTCATTCAAATTCTTGTTTAACTCCAGAAATAAAGATACCTACCTATGTTTACAAATAATTTTGAAAAAAATTAAAAGTTAAATTAAAAAAGAAAAAAAAATATTCAAAATATCTTTTACAGAATGAGAGTACAAACAATTATTGTTTCTTAAAAACATGAAGAAAAAATCAGACATAAATTTTTAGTTTTAGTAAGTTCTAAATTTGTCATTAAATTAAGAAAGGACTCCCGTAACTTATTCTTAGGACTCATAACAGCTTGTAGCTTGCTAACAATTGTTTTGATTTTCTGGGATAAATTTAATTAGAAGAAAAATAAAATTTCATATTGCAAGATCAAACATCTAAGTATGTACATTTAAATATTCTTACTGCATCACTAATAATATGTCATACTGAAATAGAATTTAACAATAAGCACATTAAAAAAAAACATATTTCAATTAAATGCTTTTTTCTGAAAATACTGATAACTTTTCAAGTACTGGAAATGTTACGCAAATTTTTATATTGTATTTATTGTAAAAAGGACTTAAAAAGATTATGGTATAACATTCAGTTCACAAACAAAAAAAATATGAGTAAATTAGCAGTTAAAAAAAATATGCTAGAAAACTTTCAGTTAAGGAAATTTATTATCCACATATTTTGTTGATTATCACATATTAAAATCCAATAGATAAGTCAAATGTATTACAAATTAATTCATATTGCGACATATAAAATTATAATGTTTTTTTTGTTAATTAACTTGCGAACACACATTAAAAACAAATTACAATAACACATCAGAATTTAACCCTCTCATTAAACAAGACTTTTTTCCAATTTTATACTGGCTCTACAGTAAAAACCCAGTTTTCTATACTTATTTGAAAAACGGGAGATAAGAAAAAGGGGGAAAAACCAGAGAATCCTGACTATTTACATCATTTGAGTCATTTTCAAGTTTTTAAAGTATAATCAATTACAGAAGGTATAAAGCCTGTTTAAAGTTCAAGCACCCTGTTAAAGCACCCAATGAAAAAGCACCTTTAAGGGCTTAAAAAATCGAAAATAAGCACCTTTAAGCACTTTTAGAAAAACACTATGCACCATGTTTAATCATTCCAAATTTCGTTCTAAGCAAATTAATCAACTGTTTAATTTTTATCCAATTTCATTCAAAGCGAAAATAAATACTTTTATTTTAACACTAAATGTAACTCTTTGCGCAATACAAGCGTATAACTATTTATAATTCAATGTTGCGACAAAATGAATACCAAAAGCTCTTTTTTTNGGAAATCTTAAGACAAACGAAGTTTTCTAAACCCATCCACAACATTAGTTTCGACCAGAGCAAATTTCAGCTAACTTATTACTTAAGAAATTCTATCACGAATTTCGCACTCAAATTTTTGCCCATTATGGCAAATTATAGGAGCCATCCAAAAACAAAGTAGGTAGGTAGGTATTTTATTTACGTCGCACTCGAGCTGCACAATGGGCTATTGTCGACGGTCTGGGAAACATCCCTGAGGATAATCTGAAGACATGCCATCGCAAATTTGATCCTCTGCAGAGAGGATGGCTCCCCTGATTCGGTAGCCCGACGACCTGCACGCGAAGTCGTGCACTTTACGGTAGAACAGTTTAACTAGGACTGATATTGTGCACCCTCGGTCCCTACGCTATCTAATCAAAATGATCACCCACCCGCTCAATGACCGCAGCTAGTAATGCTTGACTATTCTATTCACTGTTCTATTGGGAACCGTGTCTTTACGATGAGTCCACTGCGGGACTCCAAGAACAATCAAAGCAAAGTTTACCTTAATTTTTACTCAGAAACAGTAAGTTTCAATGTCACCTCCAGAAGTTACCCCATTAAACAAAATTGCCATCCCAACGAAAACTTTCATTATGCCATCAGCAAAAATTAGGTTGTAGAAAAACGATAACTTTTTCTTTAAAAGTTTGGAATACTGCTTAAAAATATTTATCAGTTGTATTAAATAGTTTTCCTAACAAGTTTTGTTAGAAAATCCATTAATAAAAAAAAAGTCTGGTACTAACTAAAACTAATATTTTGACAAAAGTTGCAAATAACTGTTGGTGCAACAAAGTTTTCATTATCATACCTATTAAAAAAAGTTTTTGCAAACTTTTAATCTAGAAAGAAATTTTTGCTCAAAACAAATGCTTACCGCACAAAATTGTTAGAGCATATGCTGCTTTAACAAAATCTAATTTTAAAGCAGAGAGTGCGTTTCAGTGGCGCCTTCTATTACCAAGAATGCGACATCAGACACACACACGTCACAGCACCTTTGAAGGGTGAACCCATTCATTCATTCATTCATCCACCTATCATAATTTTGACCTGAACCAGAAATGTTCATATTTACGATCCAGCTAAATTAGTTCCCCCAGAAGTTTGATTTGTTATGGACACATGGAGGATTTTGTGACCCGATAGAGTTGACGTGCACCAATCACACTTTACTAAACGGGGAGTCTTCCGCCGGCGGGGATCAAACTCACGAGCACTTAAACATGGTCCCAATGCTCTACCAACCAGGCTATCCAGGTTTTTGAAGAGTCCTTTTATTCTTGACGTTACAAGATTACTAAATAAGATTTTAAAGACGAATAAAACAATTTTTTTCATCCTCTCCACTTGCGACAATACGAAAAACTAAGATTTACAGTGATAAAGGTTTCTTTTGAGAATTAAAAAAAAATTATTTTTTTATTAGAATTAAATTCTCAATTATTGTTTTTAACGGTAATTTTATTCAGGAGCATTTTTAGATGGTTTTTTTTATCGACTTTTTCTATTGTCTCTTTTTTCTAAAATTTTCGACTTTTATGTATTGTTTTAAGAATGAAGAACTAATTTTTTTCCGTTTTATCTTTTTCTATTATTTTCTTAATCGTTTTTAATATTTTTTTTATTTATTTCATTTTTGAATAATGAACCTTTGAATAATTTTTTTGCACTTGATCAGTATTTCAGGGGAACTGAATTTCATTATTAAAGATTGATTTCGAAATCAAGTAAATTTCGCATCAAATTTTAATTTATGGTTGATAATATTAAAAAATAATTTAATGAAATATTTCCCTATATTATTAACCAATAATATCAGAGTGTCTCATTAATTTTACGAATCTAAACTAACACAAATTTCATCTAGCATTACTGGTTTAAAAGATTAAACCTTAAATTTTGCCCTAAATAATAAAAATTTTATTTATATTTTGCTTAAATTTTAAACAAAATTAATCAAGAAGTAGAGAATTTTTTTTCCTGCATTTCAGAAATGAATCGTATAGGGTAAATGATGTTTGGAGAAATGCTTTGCATAAATAATATGGATAGCTATTTCAATAGTTTTAAATTTTTGAAAAATTGGCTCCAATATTTTACACGTAAATTTTTAACTTTAGTTTACTATTGGTATTATATTACTTCTATTTAAAACTTACATTATACTTTAATTTACTCTACAATTTATATACTTTGGTTTACTGTACTTTCAACTAGACAAGCATTTTCCTTTACATTTAATTCTACACATATTTTTTAGTTAATACAATTTTTACATTATGCTTTCCACTTTTTACTTTAAGCTTTACTTTACTATCTGTTGTCTTTACATTTGTTGACTTATTTTATACTCCACATTTTATTTAACTTCATACTTTACATTTTGCTTAGTTTACTTGACGCTTCATCTTTAAACTTTGCTGTAATTTTTACTATAGTATATTTTAGTGTCTTCATTACTTTACAGTTAACTTTTTCTTTTTACTATATTTTACATTTTTTATGCTTTCTACTTCAAGCATTGCTTTGTAATTCAAACTTAATTTAATCTTTACATGATACACTTTTTAAAATATTTGTTGCGTTACATTATTTTGCATTTTATTT